ACAGAAAGCCGCTTTTATCACACTTTGTCGAATACTTAAACATAAGGTAGGCTTTCTAATCGTTCCTTCTGTTACTTCTGAAGCGTGTAGAACTCTTTTACTGATTAACAAATCTTTAAAATTTCAAAATTCGATTGCCGAAGCCTTAACACTCTTCACAAATACAAAAGATTCCTTACATGAACTTTGATTTCTCAGTTTGTGTGGCAGCTATATATGCTATAGTGACTCAATCTAAAAAAATTTTTCGGATATTGCGCTGTTGCCTTGGACAATAAAATACGCGAAATTTCGTAAAAAATATGCTATAGCAGTTCTATATCGACCGTTTGACAAATGATTAGCTATTTGGCGAGCAAAGGATGATTTTAAAATTTCAAATCGATATCTCAAAAACTGAGAGCTATACAGACAGACAGACGGACGAACCTAACCGGAACGGATCCGGATTTTTATTCAAACAAGAACTGAAAACCGGCAGTATTCCTACAAATTACCTTAGGAAGGTTTTCTACCGGTATAACAACATGACATTTGATAGTGACCTAACCAATTCACCAGTTACCAGGTGTCAATTCCCACAAYAGGTGGTTCTCCGATACCGRAATAGACACGATTTTTAGTTGGTCAAAGACTGTTCGACGATTGTTATTGCTTGGGTGCTATGGTAAGTAAAAATGACATAGATACTTATTTGCGGACTCTAGTATCAGCCAAAATTCTCAGCAGGCTTATTTTTAATTTAAACATTAATGCAGAAATCAAAATGCTGCAGCAATTTTATCAATTTACTTTTGGGTTAATCAAACTTAATCTGGAATTCAGAAACATTTCAGCGTTTCACAAATTTTCAAAAGTTAGGGCTGACAAGARTAATTTAAGCAATTTTTTGATAATTTATGAAGTTAAATTTCCAAGACGAAGCACTGAAACCAGTTTAAGCGATGCCAATACATAAGCACAAAGGCAACTGCGAGTCGGCTGGGCACATGCGCCCGCTGACGACAATTACGCCCACACACACACATCCAATAGCCTTGCGAGTCTTTATTGCAAAAAATAACTATTGTTGATGCAATTGTATTTACTCATAGACACACAGACACACATGTATAGGTTAAGGCTTCACGTGTGTGAGAATATAAAATTACTTGACGGAATTGAGAATAGTTCTATGGAGGCTCTGCATAAATTAAATAACCGAAAGTGAAAAACGCCATTGTGGACCCAAAGTGTTGCCTAAGTATGTGTACAAATACCTACACAGATGCATCGACGTGTTTACAGAAGTACATATGTATGTGTATGTATGCATGACCTTATGTCACCAAATATTAGCTTAAACGTGTAGACCTCACACACACGTGCATTTGCGCTCATATATACGTTTATATACATACATACATACATATATACACACATAAGTAARCACATATTTTATTAAGATAATATTTATACTTGTAGTACGTTGCGCCAGTCAAGCCCTAATTAGATATTCAAATTTCAGGTGAAACGGTATAAATAATGCGCGCACATCCAATACGTATATATGCCATATGCATGTATGAACATACATATGTATTGTGTGTGTGTGTGTGTGTGTGTGATATTTGTGACACTGCTTATGATTAGAAAGCATATTAGAAGAACTAAAGCAATCCAATTTTCCCTTCTTTATTTATTTTTCAGGATATATGTATGTATGTATATGTGTTGTCCATATGTCATGACAATTAAAATGTTAATTCGGAACACTTTACAACTTCTTTTTTTAATTGGCAGTGTTTGGCAATTTGTAGATTTCGTAGTTCTTCCAGCTATTTATGTGCGCTTCAGTATGCTGCGCTTGTTTATATGTACATATGTAATAGCATTAATTTGTCTTTGTCAGCCGTCCGTTGGCGAAACTTTTCCATTCCTTTCACGACCGTTTTCGATTTTACGCATTTTTTCTCAAATGAACTTTAAAATTTACTAAATTAGAGAAAAGTTCCTTTCATTTGTGTTGCTACAACATCCATTTTCGCATCCATTTACTTTTTGTGCGGAATAGTTTGCCAAACAGGCGAGTAATGGCCATTACGAGCGAACCATGCCAATGTGAAGGTTCGGCTGGCTGCTCGCCACTGTGGCTCCTGCATGGACGTCGTCAACGTCCCATACTAACACTGTTATGCACTGGTCCAACACGGACAACAAACACAACAGCAAAAACAGCAAAGCGCTCAAGGTCGTCAGACAAGTTCGCTGTGAACGCAGAGAAATGAACGGATGGAAGCCATGAATGAGGGAAAGAATGAATGAGCGAATAAAAAGGCATAAAGCAACAGCCACCATAATCACACCACTACCTTCAGCTATGTATGGTACTACATATGTATATATGTACATATGTACAATATACTATAAGTAGTGTTCTGTGCTATCGCCACCCTCCTATCAAAGACGGGTTTTTATACGGCCGCTTTGGGCGCGCTGCGAGTTCTTAGTACTCGCCATTGCATCACTCCAACTCTACACATGCAATTTWGTAAGAGGACATACAGATGAACGATGAAAGAACATATTTACTTGTACATAATTAGAAAAAAAAACACGAAAAGCGTTAAAGATAAAAGAAATTTATAAAAAAAAAGAAGAAAATGTGAACATATCATAGGAATTTTATTCCGCTAAGACGAATTTTTCGAGTTATGGGAGCGAAATTTCATTTCTGAAATGTATGGGTATGTATTTGGAGAGAGCACAACGCATTTGGTGAGTCAACTTACATCTACTACTCAGCTGGTTATTGCTCCAGGACGATTGCCCAAACGTTAGCAGCCTTAGGGCCGTTATATTTACCAGTTCCTTCAGCTCTGTTCCGCTATTTCGATTTTCCTGTCTACTGCACTCATATAAATAAACGGAAATTAAATGGTTTGCAAATTGGCGGCTCGCAGGTGTATTTCTAATATTGTAATTGTATTGTGTTGTTTCCACCTTTTCCCTTTTGCATTATTTGCGTTTTCTTGCAGAGTTTCGCATATTATGTCTGCGAATTTGTTAATTCTTCTGCAGAATTCTTTTCACACTTCTGGCACATTTTTCAATTCGCACTTCGTTTAGAGTTCTCTTTCTTTTTGCTGTAATTATAGTACACTTGTTTTATTACTGGATATTAAGTAAACACCCGAGTGTGCCTACGCAAACGTTTCTACATTGTATGTACTCGTATCAACTCGTGAGCATAAGTCCGCTATTTGTTATTATTATTGCTTCCGCAATTTCGTTAAAATTTCACCTTAACTCATTATGATGTCATGCTTTAACACTTTTACGCTTTCGAGTTTCAAACTTTTTGTCTAGGTATGACCATAAAGTCCTAGTTTGCAGCTGCGGCTACTTGTTAGAACGCATCGTAAAATCATAAAATCATAAACTTTTACAATTGTTGGATTTCATACAAAAATTAATTAACGCCATAACAATTCTCAACGCTATGTTTTCGGATCGTTATAACTTATAACTTTATTAGAATATATGAATCCCCTAAATAACTTCTGTATCGTAAAGGAAGCAAACTAATGCAGAAATACAGATGTCTCCTAGTGGGCTATGCATATGGAAGAGGCAGAAAGATGTTTAAATGAGAGAATAAACAGATAACAAGAGTCAAACAAGAAGCAAAGCGGAAAGCATGCAGAAACGAAGCTAGGCAAAGCAAAGCAAAGCAAGCCAAACAAAAGTGACCCAGAGAATTGAAGGGGATAAAAAAGTAATTGCGTGTCCGAAGGCATTACGAATGATGACGATAATTGCTCAACCTTTCATAGCCGAATAGAATTGAAAAGTGAAAAGTGAAGGGAGAATAAAAAGTTAAGATTTTATGCTTCCAAACTTAAATCTACCAAATCTTTAGTTTACAGTTATTTATTATAACTTTTTCAGACTCTTTTAGCTTTCTAGTGGCTAGTTTACGGATATATGTATAACTTTTTACGGTCTCTCTGGGCAATGCCGCCTACTTTTTGGAGAACCAGAAACAAGAAAAGAGTTCGCTAACCAATACTGTCATTACCAAATGAAGTCGGAGCAGTCAAATGCAGACACCAGCTGTGACTGTGGTGCAAAAAGGGGGATCTGGGCAACAGTTAGCCGTACAAGCAAACATAGCCGGATGGAAGTGTTATATAAGCCGGCTAAAGTGCTAACGAGGACACCGTCCCGCTTGAGGCAGCCATCGCAACACCAGCCGCAGCCGATGAGCGGTCAGCAAGAGCGAGATGCTAAGGCGCRACCAGTCCGACCTTTGTCAGGCATGACTGAGTGGGAAAAGGACGCTCTGCTTACGGGTATTATAGTTAATTGCATGCTTGCACTTTAGTTTCTTTTGGTGTGACGGTGGTCTTGTCAAGGGAATCAACCGGATTTCAGGCGGCAGCAATAAACCAGAACAAAAAAAAAAAATGGGAAAACAACAAACCAACAATTCATAAAGTATAAGTTGAATGTGTGAATTTGAATTGTATAGAATAGGGAAATAAAAGCGACAACATGGAATCAAATTATGGTTTAAATCTGCAATTTTTGTAACATGATATGGATGCGGAGTTTAAATGTGCTATACCGATTTTAGTCACACAGTCTGATAACTAAATGAAGAAATGAAAGCCCTCGCAATGTTTTTTATAGCAATTACAGCACCCTTTCCGCATCTATTTCATACTCCAAAACATTACTTTTCTACAAAGACCATTTCTTATTTGGACTTTCTTTTTTCGCTCTCTTCTCATTTCTTTAAATTACTGAAATTATAATTTAAAATTTTATTGCTGATCGATAGTTAAAGTAAGAGCACTTCAACCTGAGGGTTATAAATTTTTCCTTGTCTGTGTGAGTGTACTGAGTGCGTTCATATGTTTCGTATTATGGCTGTTGAAATATCGTTTATTGCTAAAGCTCAATTTGAATGTCATGACTAACATACAATAAACAAATATATAACCAATGATAATTACCTTATAAACATCACCGTATGTGCCAGAACCGATCTTTTGTATGAGTTCGTATTCGTCCTGTGGATTACGTCGTGATATATCTGAACTAAGCAGATTAGCAGCATTATGGTGGGCATGTGCCATATTGTTGCTTTTGAGTATAATCACGTAGGTGTCTTAAAAGCTCCAAAGCCGAGGAGCTGTCTGACCACTTAGTACAATTTATTTATTTTTATTTGGTAGGTTTTAGTTTGTAATATCATTAAGTTGAACTAGACGTATTATTAAATAACTTTAATTTATTTTATTGTACTTTATGATTTTTTAGGTCAATTAAAGGTATTTCACTAAACCATTACAAATATTGTCATTTGAAGTTTGCACAATTATGCGGTTAGTGATAGTTTAGCACTGTGAGTAAATGAATTTCAAAAAAAAGTTATAGTTACTGTCTGAAATATTCTATAGCAAAAACAATATTCCCTAATAAACCAAAATAGCAAGTAAGCGCCACTTCAACACTTGAATACGATTCTTTAATCAGGAAACGAGCAACTTATGTGTAGCGGCTGCTACTTGTATAGCCACCACCTGCTCGTTACTCGTCGCAGATCACCACAAATATTTGCACATCACAAAATAACACTCAATCAGCCTTTAGTATTGGTTTGGTACAACTTGATCTACTGTGCAAATAACTTTGTGAATATGATGTTTTTTTTTTTTTGCAAATTACACTACACTTCTGCTAATGTATCACATATCCGACGCTCCTATCATTTGGAAGAGCTTGCGTAATTGCTCCTGAGTGAAAATATTTCACACATTGAGAATTATTTGGACGCACTAAATCCTCAGAAGAAGTGTAAAATGTAAAATAGTATTGCATACGTAATACGTGTCAAATAATGAAATAACAATACAACTTTGACAACTTCGCAGAGTTGGATTTCCACGTTTAGCTTCGCGCACCACTAACCACACGAAGTTCCGCTTTATTAGGAGTTAACGCAGTAGCAATGGTGCGAGTTTGAGGCAGAGAAACAAAGAAAGTGAAGGACGGAATCCATACACTACACATGGATACAACTTCAATAATTTTACACATTTAGGCTTTAAAAACGTTTTGGCGAATGTAAGAAACACTATTTGTATTCCGAACATCCCACACTTTGGGAGTATAAACATTTTTTTTTTTTTTAAATTTGTTATAAGCTTAAAAAACAATATAAATTTTAAACAGAAAATTTTACAATTTTATTATTGGAAATCCACTTCGCACAGAAAMCTACACAAGAAAACATGGAAATTATAATACTGGCAGAACTACGAAATTGCAAGACTTTGAGGCAGCAGCCGCTGTCTGAATAGGCAGACAATAGCGGAGAAGATGGTTGAAAAAACAGGGCGATGTCGCAGGCACCACTGCTGCTKCTGCTGCTGCCACACAGTCGTGTTAATTTTTTGTATTTTATCTCCAATGCATTTTACACTTTCTTTACATTTGTACAACACTTTTTCACTAACACACTAGTAAAATGATTTTTCTGCATTACTAATTTTTTACTTGTTGTTTATAAATTAATTGGAAATTGAACATTTTCCACTCGATACGCGACGCAGCATAGTTGACGACCACGAAAACAGCGAAACGAATTATTAACAAATGAGACGATGGATATCGCTCTGCTGCTATCTTGCCTTCGCTGTCAACGTTTTAGTGCTGCGCTGTCAGTGTCTCGTATTTGACAGCAAATTGGGTTTCTAACTGCATATTTATTTAGRCTTGCATGGAAAAGTCATTTTTCACCAATCAGTGATCAATTTCGAAATGGAAATTATATATTTTTGTAATTTTGAAATGAAAATATAATAAAGTGTAAATACTATCCCTTTCAAATACTTGTAAATGTTGAAAATATTCAATGTATTACTTGYAATTTTCTGGAACTCCACATATAGAAATTTTGGAAGGAATGACTGCGGCATCTACCGGTCAAGTTTCGTTTTTTTACATTACTAGTACAGGGTGTTATAAAATATTAACAATTACTGCTTAAAACAGAGACTCAATTGAAGAAGACCACCTGACTTTTCCAAAAAGCTTATATATTATTGTTAATAAACAAAAGACGTTGTTTTGTAGTTTCGCTTAAAAATTCACCAGTTTTTATTTTTTCCTGATACATATTCGCTTTAATAATTACGTTATTTGAACATTTATTTGTGTTTTCGTACTGTGATCGTTTAATTTTTAATGTGTACAGCTTTCGTGATTTAAGTTTTTTTTAATTACAGAGTTAAAAACTTTAAAATTACAAAAGAAGTTCTAAAGAAATTATTTGCTTAAACTAGATAGTGAATATTGCACGTTTAAATTAAACAATAATTAAAATTATGAACTTTACAAATTTCCAATTTTTGTGGTTTACAAAATTTAAAAAATATAGGGGSATTTATTAATATTTGTTAAAAACTGTAACTTTTGATAGAGACCTAGTTAATATATTGCAATTGCAATAACATAATGACTATAACTTAAAAAAAAAATCTTACCATGAAAAAATATACAAGTAAAAAATATGACAAAAAATAGTTAGCATTCAATTTTCGACGTAATTGAGATTTTAGCGTCTAAATTTTTTGCAATGATCAATTATGTAGTCGTGTGCGAGTATTTGAAAATTTCTTTAAAACAGCTAGAAGTATTTCATTAAATAACAGCAAAATAAAAAGTTAAATGTTTGTAACCGCTCGACCTGTTCCTCAGAACCTTTGTGTATAACTTCGAATGTTTTTCTTTCTTTCTGCGAAGCTGTTACGTTGTGCTGCGTCGAGGCTATTGTGACGGATCATAGATGGTTGTGGATGTTTGTGCATTATGTTCGCTTTCATAATTTCCTTATACTGCGATCCGCAGCGGCAGAATTAAGTTTCGATCTGTATTAATAGTCAGAAAAGCACAAATTAGTATATTATCTACAAAAATATTTATGTTTAACGCGTTTTATAGCAGGAAACAGAATATAATTGATGCAGCAGCAGCTAAAAACGTTCAGATATTTAATACTTAAAAATTTGCATATTCGAATGAAAGTGTTAAATGGTTTGAAAGAACAGAACGCATTAGAATCCGTTTCCGGTCCAACATATAAAAGAACACAGGGACATGAACTCACAGAAAAGTTTTCATAAGTATACTTAAAAATTTTTTGTTTGAGATTTACATCCCAATTTCGAATTGAAATTTAGTTATTAATTTCAAATTTACCAAGCGTTTTAGTAGCAAGCGGTACAGTTAAGGCACAAACCATGCTTTAAAGCTGGACCATTATCACAGCTTCGATTGGTTAGCACTTGAAAAACAAGCAAAAYAAAATTCCAGGCAGCATCCAAAGATTGGTATCAGCTTCAGAGCAAAACCATCCAAATATTTAAGCGTACATTTTCAGCATTATTTGTCAAATAACTCAACATTTTAAGTAGAATATTTCAAAAATACGAGTCGAACTCGCTGAACACATGCAATTGGCTTACCTATGAAACAAGGTGCCGAATTATGCAGTACCTTATTGACTTTTATGGACTTCTGAGTATTAAATACAGCTTGATTTTTAAATATTATGGCTTCGGCGGAAAATATTTACGGTTTTTGAGTTCAAAACTCATGAAATATATATGTACGTGTGTATAGTAAGTTGCAACTTGAGCTTGCACGAAAAGCTCGTGTGTAAAGCTGACGACAGTGAATGATTACAAAATTGTTTTTAAACTTGTTACTGTTTATACAATGGTTAGTTAAGCGTGGAATTGCTGGCGTTTTTAGCGCTGTTTCATTAGAAGTCATCGTCCTGTGTTAATAGAGTGCATGGGTTAAGTGCGGTTTGTCATAATTTTGGGCTGTACAAATAGTTAGATAACAAGCGTATGTATAGCAGTTGTTATATACCATAAATATAATAAATATATGAGAACCATTTACATCTTGACCTTTTGTGAGTGATGCAATTTACAAAGTAGAATCAGTGTGACAATAAATATGTAAATGGCAAAATATTTTCGGTTGAAAGCAAAATTTTAACTTACATACCTATTGATTTTTTTCGATTTTCGTCTAAGCGAAGTGAATAATGACTTTCTATAAACATTTTCAAAATAACATGATTTAAAAAAGCAGTTGAAGCATAAAAGTTAATTGGTTTTCAGTGCGATAGCGTTGCGGTTTGAAAGTTTAGAAACAATTTCGTAAAAGCCGTAAAAAGCTCAAATTTCAACTTCCCTAGCTTTGATATTTGTCTTTGTTGTATATGCACATAATTTTACAAAATGTGAGATTTTTATAAATTGTGAATTTTGAAAGAAAAATTTGCTCAAGTATTTCGCATAAATTAAAAACATTTCTATCGAAGTATATTTTAATGAAAAATTCTAAATTTTTATGACAATAACACTTATGAGCGGTAGAAATTGAAATATAAAGTTTACTATAGTATATCTTGTTCTGTGAGTACCGGAAATGAGGTCCTGTGTTTGTGTTTGACGTATTTTATTTGGAAGTACAACAAAATTAAAAAAGTTTTCCATACAGGGTGTGGAGAGAAGAGAGAAAATTAAGAAAATTAAAATTAGTAAAACTATGCTTCCCACACACAATCACCGTAATCTGTTTTGGCAGCTCAGAACGCTCGACCAATTCTGCTCGCCAAAAATCAGATTATCAATGTGTTCAACATTTATAATTTGTTACTCACAATTCCATTGAAAGCACTGTAGGATTCGGACACGCCTGTGGTGCGCGTATGTGGCATTGTTTGTGGCAGATCAAATTGCAGTCCCGACATTCGTAGCCCTGCTTGCCAGGTCGTCGCGGGATGGACTTCATGCAGACTTGGCATTGCAAGCCGCCACTGTGGAGGCAAAAAGAAAATTTKTAGAAAAACAAGCAATTTTATAGAACAATTAGCAGAAATGCAAACGAAAATTCGTCGCTGCTTACCCGCTCAAGTGTTTGGCGATAAAGGTGTGGTCATTATAAATGTGCAGTTTTGTGCCTTTGCGACGCCACCTGGGCCGTTGTGCGATTGCCAGCGGCACAATGAAATGCCTAGTAGAAAATRTACGCATTAGCGCTTAAGCATTCAATAGAAATATACAAATGCAGACGGGCTCSACAATTGACTCACCGCTTCACGCCATTCTCGATCGTCTCTAGCACCAGCGTGGATGCTTCATGTACGTACGTTTTATTGCTGGCTGACGAGAAACCTGAGATTGCGGACGATTCTGAAATTGAAGATTGCCTTGAGTGATCAAGTCGTGACGAACCCGCGCGTAAGCCTGAGTATTTTCGTTGTTTTGTGTAGTTTGCATAGTTTCGTTTTTTTTTTTTTTACCAAAATAAAATTAAGAAAAGCGTGCAGTTTCGAAGTACCGAAACGAAATTATAAGTTTAGTTTCAATTGTTACACATCATTTACGATAAAATACATTTCACCAAAGATATTTTCAGGGTGTTTCCATTTTTTTGCAGCAAAAATATGGTTTAGTTACACAAGTAGTGGTAGTAATATATAGCGGTGGGTGAAGGAGTTCGATTATCCAAAAGTGAACAGATTTTCCCATTTTGATTTTTTTTCGTTTTTTTATTTTTATTTGTATTAAAACAAAATCGCCCAAAATCATAAGATGGAAACATATGAAATTAAAAGAGAGTAAAATTAAATTAATACATATATGGATTGAATATGCACAATTCAATGCATTAACAGTATTTTAAAATTAATCAAATCAAGCGGTAAATTAAATGTTAAAAATTTTGACGCGAACCCAAATTAAAGGAGGCGGAAGGAAATAATGAGTTAAAGTGTTTTGTTAGTACGAAATTGATATGCACGTGTGTGTATATATGATTGCATGTGTATATTATGAGGATATGAATATATTAGTATTACACATGTACATAAATATAATATTGATTAAGGGACCATACATACATATAATTCATATTTTCGGCGTTGAAGTGGCATAGTTTTCGTGGTACAGTAGATTAGTTTAGGGAGTGTGTTTGGAAAAGAAAGACAAATACGTATACAGTAGAAAGTGTTAGGTTAGAGATAAAGAAACAGAGATAGACAAAATAAAATGGACTACTTAGTACACACATATAACTATGTGGATTTAATTACACAAAAAAAAAACAGCAATAAGAAATAAAACGCAGAAATTAGATTTAATTTACAATAAGCAGCGCATTTTTTAAATCGAAATCCGCATTTTCAAAAACTTTTTTAAAATTTGGTTTAAGCAATTGAATATAGTAAGTTATAAAATAAAATAAAAATAAGAAAGCATTTCACAGTATAAAGATTTCTACCAAAGATTTACAACTATTTATAAGACAGCTCCTGCCAAACGTAAAGAAAGCTTTTATAGTAAAATAGCATAGTAAATCCAATAACGACGCTTAAACTAGCGACAATTTTTCCACACATAAAGAGTTAAGAAGCATATTATGAAAGAGAGCGAGTGAAAATTACGTCCACACAAGTGTTAGATCAAGTACCAAGTGGTTGGTTGGAGAGGTGGGTGAATGGTAATTACCAAGTGAATTGCTCTTAGACAATACAGCACGATCGACAGATAATGAACGTGAATCACCGTTAAGTGTTCCTGTTGGGGTGGTACCGTTATTATTGTGGGACGGCGTCAAAGCGCCACGATCAGCCGAATGGGTGCGTGTTTTGGATCGACTTAAACGTTTTTTTAATGTTCCAAAGAAATTTCGTTTCTTACTCCGTCCTCTCTCGTCCAGCTCAGCGCTGCTTAATGSTGTGCTGGTCGCAGCACCGTTGCGGRGCAAACTATTGCTTTGGTAGCCATAATTCTGTGAACCGTTTGTAGTCGAGTTGCCATTGTATGGTGAGTAGCCATTGTGGGCCTGTGGTGAGGAAGCGGCATTCGGTTGACCAAACTGTGCAATGAAATGAAAGACTTTAATTAATTTACAAMGACAAAAACATCAGTTATATGAGCTTTGAGCTTTGTGTATTTTAAAGTATGCTGAAGACTTTTGACTTAAGCTTATTTTGTTTGAAGTTATAATCGCTGAGTGCTAAGTCTGACATACTTAAAAAACAMAAAGCTGTTTATTTTTAGTGCATTCAGTTTTAATTGAAAATCATTCAAACAAAATATTAAAGTATTTCAGCAAAATTGCAACATTCGCAGCGTGCTTTCGAATAAGAGAACAATTTTGGCATACTCACCTCGGCGCTGGATGCAGCCAAAGCGCTGCTGTTACCTGATGCCACACCCGATTCATCTAGCGACACATCGTTTGGTGGACATGAGTCTGTGGGGCTGGCGGTTATGTCCGTCGCCACCGAAATTTCCTGTTGTATTTGCTCGATATCCGCTGTCGTATTGGCTGTAGGCAACGATTCGCTCGTATTGTCGTTTAATGGGGATTCTAAAATTTGTGTCACAGCACCGTCGACTTCTTCTTGTGGCGACTCYTTAACTTCGATTCTGCCGTCCTTGTTCACTTCAACCTACATATTTTCGTTGCAGACGAAATTTCGGTTGGAAGTGATTTCGCAGGTTAATTTTAGTTAGAAAGCGCATTGAATCATTAGAGTTACAAGCAATTGAAGAAAGCGAGCCAAAACGAAGAAAAAATACGTAAACATAAGTTCCTTATCTACTTTTTAAGGTTATGTACTCAACTATTTCAAAAMCTAAATAAATAACTTATGCACAAAATGAGTGCAACTCAAAAAGAAATTTTAGTTTTTTTATGTAAAAAAGTTGTATAAATAATGTTAAAAATWAATGAAACAGGTTTAATGAACAAAACGTGAATCGGTATGCAGATGCTGAGAAACTTAAATACAAATTTACCTTAAATGCRTTTGAATTGTTTTGGTTCTATTTGTTTTGACGTTGCGTKATGGTGCAATATGAACGAATCAGGAAATAATTTGATTTTTTCAAAAGCGTTTCGTAATGTGACGTAAGGTGGAGAGAGCGGGAGTGAGCAACATGAAAAACAAAAAACAAATTTAGCATCGAAATTATTCGAAATTAAATAAAACATTAAATCAATTGCTTGGGCGGAGATTTGAGACGATTTAATATGAGTCTCTGCCTGAAATACTTGTATGTATAAAGCACACCATTTCTCCATAGGCAGCTAAAGGCTTAAATGAGATTTAAAAAAAAAAAACGTGAAAATCTAGAACTCACCCTTTGGACGCTATGTATAATTAGTGTGCTCTTGCTGGGTTGTCCGGTTGTGGAGAGTGCGCCATCYTGCAAGGCGCGCACAGCCGCATCAGCCAAACCGGCGCCATTCTTCATGTGCTGGTTAATGACTGGCGTGCTGATCTTCAAGGCCTCTTTCAGTTTGTACGGTTTGGGTCCAGCGGGTATTTCGGCACCTTCAATGAACACAAAGTCCACAGTGATGGTGCCACTCACCGGATTCGTCTCATACGGACGCGGCTGCAGTGTCAACATTTGTGTGGATGCAGGCCCCACGGCCAGCTCATCAATGCCCACCAAACCCAAACCGAGGAATTTGGCCGTTTCGACGCCATTAGCAGGCCGATCATATACTTCGAATAAAATCTCCGCTGATTGTGGAGACAATTCACTAAAGAAAACAAAAKAAAAATCAAACAATCGGKTATAAAAAATGAAGCGTAAGYACKTACAATAGGAAATGCTCATCCCAATAAGGCGTGGCACCCTGCCGAACGCCGGTTTGATTCTTTTGTGCAGGTTCGTCCATTTCCACCACAACGTAGGGGTCCTTGGCTTCGGCCAGCCCTTCACCTTTCACAATTTTTACCAACAAACGACGACCAGAGATCATGGGCTGCATACCTGACAAATTAGAGCCCTCCAAGTTTGGCTATAAAGGGTATTCAGTTTTTTTTTTTTTTTGGTGTAGTATGAAAGAGAAATGAAACGAGAAAAATTGTTGAATAAAATGAGCGGGAAATTGTGCGCAATGTTAAGCATGTTTTCCAGTTTACGAAGGCAATGAAATTTGCCTTTTATTTSATAACTAGTATTTCTACATGTATGTGAATATTTTTCGGTACAATATGCGAGTTTCTTTACAAATTTAGGTTTTATCTTTTGGAAATTGTAACAATTCAGTTGCGATATTATGTTCAATAATTATAATAATATTGATAAGCCCTCTGAAATGAGAGAAAGCAAAAACAAAAATGAACTTAACTTTTGAAAATTAATTTCAAAAAGTGATTTTGACTTTGAACTGTTGTTAATTGTAATATAATGTTTGTTAAGTAAACAAAAGGCAAATTTCATCGGCAACAATGTTGAGGCTGCAACAATTATTCAATTTCTAAACATGCAATGCGCGGAAGTGGGCAGAACGATGAGAAGAATAACAGTGTTTATGTTGTGACACAAAATTTTTACAAACTCTGGAGCGATCGACTCGAATGCCAAATATTTGTTAACTGTATGTTTGTATGTGTGTAGAGTGGTGTACCTCTGTAATCACATACCAGCTTTGTATGCAAAATCTGTACGACTTGTCACTGCCAATCGTTTAATGATTCGGAAAGTGTCTTATAAAAACATAAACAATTAAAAAATGAAATTAACGCAAAACAAGGAAACGCCGTATACAGATTTGGTAGTTATGAATATGTTTCTTCTCAGTGTACTGACGCTCACCGCTAACGCATCATAATTGACGGGATATATTACAGGCATGTCAAGCGGGTCGATCTCGGCCCGTGGGCAAGTTGCGTAGACCGAAAAGTCGACTGGATAGACGGTGTCGCGCAGTGTGGCGGTGATTATGTCACTAATGACTCCTTGCAGCTGCTGCTCATCTTGATCCATTGGCTTGATTGCGCCCACACTATTCATGGCAACTCGGATCTGCACACAAAAATATTGTCACAAATTAGTTTCTACTTATTTACTTAAATTTAAAAAGCACTAGCAGCAACACTCACATCGGGATAGCCATCCACCTTCATCTCGCCCTTGAGTGTGTTGTAGTTCATGGCGGTAGCCATGCGTGCACGGAAGCGGGATATGGTCACTTTGTAGTGCGAGGTGTCAACCTTGCCGGCCTTCTGGCGGTACGTCTTCACCTGCAGCACCGGCTGTGCATCACAATCAAATGTGATCAGCTGWGGAATAGACAGACATATTAATGTGTCTTGGAAGGATTGYTGCSCAGTGAAACCTACCATATTCGATGGATTCGTTTCATCACAGTTACAAAATATATTGTTCAAACTGGGTGGTGGACTGTCGGGCAGCACGCGCACCACCTCCACTGCGACGCCATGCTGAAAGCAATAAGTAAATTCATATTAAGGAAGTGTCATTCCTGCGACCTGTGGTCTATTGTACCCTGGTATTAAYATTGCATGTTTGAATAGTTAGTACCTCTCAGTAAACAATGACAACTGTGAAACATTTACAAACATTTATAATATTGTTGTGTGAACCCAACTTTATGATTGTTACTTCGCGTGTTTTTTATAATATTAATATGTATGTACATATGTATATATGCAGACCTGTTTGTATGTATTATATTAAAAATTTCATGTCGTTCTGGTCTTTGCCTCTTCGAATTGTTTTTGCAGCTTTTATCGCCGGACTTACGTTTTCAGTGTTGTTGTTATTATTATATTATATTATTTCTTCTTCTTTATTATGTTTTCAGCACCAAGGGGCCAAGGTYAACTTTAAATCCATTTCGTGTCTTTACATGTGTGTATACATACATATCTACACGCCTGTCAACAATATAAATTTGTATGTATGTAAGTGTGTGTGATATATAAATTGTCTGCCGTRGTTTTGGTGTTTCTCGTTTCATACATTTATGTTTATTTGAATTTTATTGCTTAAACTGCRCTTCGATTTTTGCTTTCTTCGAATGCTTCTTATAAGCCGGTTTTATTTGATTTTCTTTCTGTTCTAAGTAATACTCAAATGAGTCTAAATTGGGCGAGCGTCTTTATGAATGTAAAATAGTATGTTTATATACATATAAAACATATACGAGTATTAAAATATGTCTGACGTAATGCGTGACTCAATTTGAGTGTCTGTTAGATGACGACGGAATATACACGTATTTGTGCAACAACAAAACAAAACAAATCAGCTAAGTGATCTCATAGTTTGCTTGGAATACGCTTTAGAAAGATGAGAAAAGCTATAAAAGCATAACTGGAATTCTCTGACTCTTCTTTTCGATTGTAAATAATTAATGAACTTTTCATGCACTTTGGCTTAAGGCGATGGAGCTGTTTCTATTCAAGGGCATAGTTCACATTTTTTCATATATCAATCAAAACATTTTTGTCTGTCAATCATATCGTGATTATATGTACATATACAAATCATGACGTCACGAACTACAATCATTACTACTGAAAAAAAGAAGAATCTTAATATGAAACAAATTTGAAATAGAATGGGAATCTAATTTTATGCTCTGCATGCTGTTTTTTTTACCAATAATAATTTGTCTGCTATTATTCGCTCGGGCTTTTAGTTCACAGGTAAAGAGGCATGTAAATCACAATGTTAATAACCCATGAAGTTCTCGAGTCTGTTTTCCTAAATTTCATTTAATTGCGAAATAATACACAGTGGCACATTTGGCGCRTTAATAAATCGATAAGCTGGCGTTTTATGAGGTCATACCGAGCTTTACTTTCCCAGCAATAATAGCGATTATGTATATAGCATTAAGCCCTGCACAATTTGCATAAGATTTACATACATACATTTATACACAACGATGTTAAAGTGTGTTCCTTTTTATTGTATTAATTGTAAATGTAGACTATCCGGTTTATTTGAATATTAATGTTTGATTAGTACATCGCTTGGCAACTTACCTCTTCCATCGATTTCTTCAGCGTTTCATTTAAGGCTATAACCCAAGAGGTTAGCAGCTCGTTGACAATCACAAGATCGCTGTAAAGCCAACGGAACACTTGACTGGTCCAAGTAACGGAAGTCTAAATTGGAAATAAATTTATATTGTCAACTCATGTCTGCTGCWCAACTTACTGTTTCGGGTCCAACAACGTTGGAGGGTGGCGGGACATAACGTTTTTTGCGGCTTTCTGGTCCRGTAGAGCCCTGTCGCACCATGCGGCGGCGTGCGCCAGCACCAGCAGCTGCACCCCCAGCACCACCACCAGGCGCGCGACCACGTGCAGCACCACCGGGTTTGGCAGCTAAGTCCTAATCACAACAAAAACATATACAAACGCTTATTGTTAACAATTTTAAGATAGCAGTCTGTGGTCCGCCTTTGGGGGATTTTGTCGTACCCACCTTAAAATCTGCCTTGCTTGCCATCACTTCTCTCGGCTCGGATAGTCGTTTGCTCGCCTCAGTTTTCGCTGTGCTGGCAGCACCGGGCGCCACACTGCTCTGCCGACTGTTGCTCTGACTTGTCGGCGTCTTGTTGTTGTTATTTACCACATATTTATTGTATAAAAATTTACACAGCCATACTAAGAAGAGGGCCAATACAGCCCAAATAAATATGAACATTGCTAGTGAGTCCATTGTTAAATCACCAATTCCTTCAAATGAACAAATATAATCATCGATTTGATCTGCTAAATCCATAATTCAATGCGATGGCAGATGCATAAATCAAGTTTTACGCATCATATCTGAAAATAGACATAACAGCAATGRTTTTGGTTAAGTCCACCATATAACATGTTTGAAAATATGACAGTTTGAGTATTAATTTCTATAATATCTAAAAATGTCTAGAAAAGTAATATTCGCTAAACTGTTTGAAGTTGATGCGTTATGTATTGCTCAAAACATACTTAGGGCACTGATAACATCAATCGGTAGCAAAAAAGCAGTAAGTTACAACCGTTAACTCGCCGTTCCCATGATACTCGGGTCTAAGTAACCGGATCGGACTCGGATTTTTATCCGGGCAAGTACTGTCAACTCGACACCATGTCCTGAAATTACTCCCCACACTAACAACAACAACATCCGTTACCTCCAACCTTAATCACCAACATGACGAATCTACCAATCCCTTTCAAACCCACCCTMACTTTGATATATCTGAAAGAGAGCCACACAAGTTTTGAGTCGACTCCGAACGACTCCGAACGACTAACGGACTTTATACAAAACATCGTTCGGAGGCTTGTGATTAAGAGTAKATGTTAAAGGATCGAATAAAAAAGAACACAAAAACTTATTTAAAATATGTATTTTCATTATTGGCTATACAAATATTGGGTTAAAGGTAACCATAAGGTCAAATGTAAAAATAATATAATGGAAGAAAAATATTTACCGTGCCGAATTAAGTGAACTTCCTAGCTCCAGTCAAAGAGAATAAGCAAATTCAAAGAAATTAAAAATGTCGAAAATCACAGCGAAGAAACAAAATCACATTTCAACGAATTTAACAAAATTCCCGCATTTCATAAGATTTTTTAAATCGTCTTCCGCTTTTTGTTTGTTTGTTTATCAGTGCATTTGCGTAAAGTCTTTATTTTCGATACAAAGCAAGTGTTTATCTTTGGCCTTGTAGCACTTGCGGTTTTCACTTGAGCAATGGGTGGTGTTTGTTAAAACCCATTTGGGATCCTCCAACACACGCGCACACACAACCACACTTTCACTTGCGAAAATAACCAAACTCTCGTTTGCCGAATGCTATGGACGAAAAGTGCTCGGCCAAATGACCGAAGTGTATGGGGTTCGCAGCGAGTAAATTTATTCTGAAAATTTGGTATGGAAGCCAAAAAGATTTCAACTGGCTATTTATAGCACGCTAGCTGGTGAATTTTTCACAATTGAAATATTTTACGAATYTGTGTTGTTTTGCTATTTTGGAAATCAGAAAAACTGGAGCACACACTTTGAGCACTATGGATATACATACATATGTACGTCTATATATCTAAAGACTTAGCATACACAAGTAATTATGGCACAAATGCTTTGAGGCTAATCCGCAATTTTTTTCGATAAAGAAATCGCAATCACATTTTGCCATCGCTCATCGCTTTAGAAATCCCGTTTATCTTATTAACAAAATTTCTTTACACCAAATCAAAGCGAAACCGAACCGAATGAGGAGTATAGAACGAAGCTAAATTAAAAACCTTTCGAAAGCAAAGCGAAACCAAACTGAACGCCAAATTTGAAGGAGATCGGCCGAAATCCGTCACAGTCGGTGGCAGTCGAGAGTTTGCGAGCATAAAGCATCAGGAGAACAGCCGGTAGAGATTGCCCATGGAGCTAGAAGCCACTTCCCAGTAGCATAACACTTCTGGCAGTTCGCGGCTGCTTTGGCGAACCGAAGTGGGGCATAGYGTCGTCGCAAAGAGATAAACGCCGCTCTGGTCTGTGCGTTGGAAAAACGGAAAAGCTTTCTGAATTTGTAAATCTCTCACTACGCAATGGCCAATAAGCAATAAGTTAGGAGGATGTCGTTGAATTCACGAATACACTCGGCGGCTACAGCTAATCAACAACCGCAGACGCTCACCATCTGTTCACACTACACCGAACTTTCTTTCACACCGTGTAAGCATGTGTGTGTGATGGCCGATCTTGTTGTTCAACAGGATGTTTGTGTGTAGCAGCTGTCGGAAGCGGGTGGCACTATTGCCACTTTTACACCTTCTCAGTTTTGACGTCATACTTTTTAAAATCGAAAATAAATTTTACATTGTGTGTATGAGTGTGTGTGACTTTTTCTATTACCGCATGGTTGCCGACATCACCGTTGGCTGCTCACACGAAATGACGTAATTGGGTGCACAACCAGATCTTGTACATATGTATGTATGTGCGAAGGCTAAGCTGACTTAGGACGCACGACACAGGCAAGTATTCTCGCTTCTACAATTACGCTTCTAAATTTATACTAAATATATTGCTATGTGAATAATGGACTCACCAGAGTTTTTATATAGAAGCATTTTCATTTCGACTATTTATGCCGGCACTCCGTCGTGGCGTTAGTGCAACTCTAGTCAATGCGTGTGCCAATATAGCAACAACTACAACAATCATTATGTTAATTTAGTTTTTCCCACAAAGGCATTAATTTCAAGCGCATTAAAATAGCTCACACGGCGTCAATGACAACACCAAAAACTATTTAAGAAACGAATCTCTCTGGACGCAGTTGGAATGGCTTTCGTTTGATGCCAAAGCAAGAAGTTAATGAATGCTAAGCAATAACATCACGCTTTCGTAAACTATTTTCGCTGAAAATTCTAAATAAACGGCCCTCCTACTTATTTACACATATGTAGGTATATTCACACATATAAACAAGAACATATATGCAAATGGTATTGAAGAGTGTTTTCTAATTCAAAACTCAACCGCCAATTTGACCTTTTGCTAATCTGTCTCTGCTACCAATATTTTTGAAAGCTATATAAGTAGGATGTTTTTCGTCAATCTATTGCCTTGATATTTCAATAGTTTAATTCTATTAGCCTGAATGAATTCGCTTATGATGACCAATTCGCTGGATTTTAATATTGAAAATGAAAAGCAGATGATTTGGCCGCTGTCAGCAGCATATTGCACAGTTTTTATTGCAAACAGTGTATGCACATTATTTACATATGCAAATATAAACATATCGAAGTTTGTATGCACTTTGTGCATGCACCGAATTCAGCGCGCTGCCAAACGGAATCTGCGAAATCTCTTTCAGCTAAATGTCTATTCTTGTGAGTGAATTATTTTTTTCTAAACACWAGATGCTTGCCTGATGTAAAACAAACAATTTACATGATATATTGAATGAATGAGCAATGGCCGTAATGAATTTGGCACTTGTTGCAGACAGCATGCAACAACAATAGCAACAAATAACAAATAAATAAATATTTAAACACAAACTCAGGCACTACTGTTCGAATATACAACAAATATATACATATATATATATACTATATATAGATATGTATATCTCGATATACATATATATTTCAACGAAATATAAATTGAAGCTGAGACGTCTTCAGCGAGTTTTATTATTTCATTCTCTTAGCAATAACAATAATATGAAATATTATAGCATTAACACGTTTTTAGAAACAGCTTTCATCGTCCCACAACAGCTAGTATCAAAGTAAGACTCTTGTTGAAATCTTTTTCATACCGTTAGSAAAGAAAAAACACTGTTGGGAAATATAGATGCTGAGTACATCTGTCATTCTTCTGCTTGGCCCAACCGTGCCGACGTAGAACTCAAAGATATTTCAACAGTTTTCKCAAATGCGCCAGGTGTTTTCTCATTTCAGGTCATCGTCCATGTTTCTGCCTGATATAATAGGGTGGAATTTGTTCCGGTTCCAAGATATGCAAAGTCCTTAACCTTTTCAAATGTATAGCTGCCAAAGTAGTTCCCAAGACACCGSGAGCCTTTGTACGTAATCTCTAGGTACTTTGTCTTGCCCTCGTTCATCACAAGACCAACCTCTTTCTCTTCTTTTTCTAGGCTGGTATAAATTGCGCTGAAAGCTTTTTTGTTGTTAAAGCATTAATATGTAAAGGATGCACGGGGACGCACTCTGTCTAAAAGCTCGTTTGGTACCGAACGGCTAGCAAAGGTCTTTCATGATTATGAAGGAGCTGACAGTTGAGCCATTAGAAAAATGAAATATAATATTATTGTCGCACAATAAACATACGATACGAGCATGTAGGGTGGGTTGACAGTCGTCTTTGATGTACCCTGTCTGTACCCCTGCGGAACGTATAACTCAATACCCGAGAATGTTTTTCTATCTCGTTAAACTCGTTTAACCGCTTTCTTTCCTCCTTCTCTTTTACCATGACAATACATTACATTTATACCAGTTGTACGTTCGATTCGCAGTACTCCAAAGTGAAGCATCACGCAAGTGACTACTGTAATAATGAAAACAAATGGTCACTATTCGCTCAACGTGACAGTACATACATATACAGATTTACATATATGTACATACAAATATGCATATCTGCTCATACTTTTGCAGACAGATTAGCGGTGCCGGTCGACATTGCACTCTGATGTCATTACGACGACGTATATTACCTTATTTACAAATTTTAATTTAAAGCCCCCCACGAATATCCGAAGCGCAGCAGGAAACTAATTTCGAAAGCCAAATATTTTGTGTTCCTACAACAACAGGGGGGGACTGAAAGAAAATGAGCATCAAATCAACAAGAAAATAAAAGTGTAACTAATTTTCAAACTCAGAAATTTCATTTATAACTGTCTTTTCCAACAGTGTACTGAAAATCAATGTTAAAAACGCTTCCATTGTTACATTCAAAACCGAAAGGTTTGATTGTTTCGCTGAGATCGCAGGAATTTCACACTCTTTGAAGACTAATGGCCTTTACTACACAAAGCCAGCGTAAAAGCGCGTTATGCTGACGATGAATGGGAACAACAGTTCGTAGAACAAGACTACCGAGACACAATTTAAGCATGAAAATCAACTTTATATAAAAAATAAGAAACAATGGCGAATATGTAAGTAAAGAGGAGAGATGTGAAAATGCTCGACTCACGTCCAACCGCGCACCGCTCTCTGAAAGAGTTATTATAATAAAAAACATACACACAGGCATATGTGTGAGTAAACTTAAAAATATGCAAATATTTATA